AATAATAAAAATAAGTAATTTATGAAATAATTACATACCAAGAATCTTAAATTTGCAAACTTTAGTTTCAGTTTTACAAAGTAATTTTAAAAGCGTACTTTACAAAAAAGAAGAAGGGAATAATAATAAATTTTTGAATTAACTTTCTAATAACTATAAATAACTATTCAAAGAATTATTTTTATTATACTTCAAGGAAAACAAACTTGTTCAATGGTAGATATGTTAGAAATTTAGACAGAAAATGGAAAATGTTTGTCATTTAATTCTTTTAATAGACAGAAGAGCCAATTTAGTAAATAATTTTTCTTTTGTTTCAGTTTTTTGTCTAAATGTCTTTTTAATAGGTATATTAATATAATTTAAAAAAGAATATATTTATTGTTCTAATATTATATATTTATTGTTCTAATATATATTTAAAATTAAAACTAATAGTTCTAATTTCTTTTTTATTTCAGATATTTTGCTACTTTTAAGATATATGAATAGTTCAAGCTGCTTTACGCAATCAAATAGCAAGAACGTTGTTTAATCGAAAAACATATACAAGACAGACAGAAACGTGTACGAGATTATAATAAAAAACAGGAAACAAATGCAAAAATAATTTTATCCAGGTAAATAAAACTCATACGATACAGTTTTATTCATATGCTCAACTCACTGCACTAAAAAAATATTTTAACATGGAAAAACAGAGAAAAAAGGTAAATTACAAAGCATTTTGCATTTGCATCAAATTTTGAAAATAATTAATAATAATTATTGATATTTCAGCTTTATGGAGTTAAGAAAATTATATATCCTATAAATTTTACTTGTTTTCTGACTCTTTCAATGTCTCAATATTAAATTTTGTATAGCAGATTTAAAAAGGAAATATAACTGATTTCTTTCAACGATTTATGGAAACATGATAAATGTGTAAATTAATCAGCGCTAACTATTAGTTTCGTTACATAGACAGTTATTAACTCCCATTATCTCAGGGATTTATCTAAATTTTTATTAGTTATCATTATCTTTGCTTTTTTATTTTCATTCAATAATAATTGGAGTAATTATTCCATTATTTAATATTTATTACATGAAATTCTTTTTTATGAGTTTCATATTTCTTAAAATAAAAGACGAAAAAACGAGTCTATGTCAATTCTTTGAAGATTGGTTTCAATAATTCGTTGATTAACGTCATAAATATGTTAATCAACTGATGCTAGCTACTAACCTCGTTACAGTATTAGACAATGAATCATATTATCTCGGACAGATTTATTTAATTTCTATCAAAATTTCATTAATTGTTTTGCATGTTGCTTATTATTTATTTACATTAAAGTTATTATTAATTATTATACTTACAATAAGTATATTTTAAATTTCTAAATATTTGAAATATTTTAGGAGTTGAATATTTTAAGAGAGGTGAATTCGTGTTAAAACCGTGTTTTTAGGTCTGATTTTCATGTCTCACCATTAATCATCACAAATTAATTAGTATAAGCAATGTGTGCTTATACAAAGCTAAAATATCAATAATTTGAATATTTTTAAATTAATGCAGAGTTTTTCTTTATAACTCAATAAAATTCATGTACTTTTATAGTGAATCAATAAACTCCTCGTTTAGTGATTCATGAATTACAAAGTCAATTTCCGAACTCGTAATACTGCTTTTTTTTTAAATAACAGATTTAAAAAGTGTTTCAAGAATAAATTGACATCGATTTAAAAAATGGATAATAGGTTTTTTCCCCCAATAGAAAACAGTTTCATTTGTAAATTGTGAACTCCATGCTTTGTTAATTCACAAAAACCTATGAAAAACCTGTTCAAAATATAACAATAACAACCAAATTAAATCTGCCGTATAAAACGTTATTCTAAACTCTTTTGATGTCTTTCTCAGTACATGAAAATCATACACATATTATTGAAAAACATTTTATTTTATTTTTTTAATAAATATATAGAATATTTTAAATGTTTAATGGAAATAATAAAATTATAAAATAATCTAAATACTTACCGAAATTTAAATCATAATTTACAATGTATAAAAGCTAATTTAAATTAAATATTAAAATTTACTTGAATAAATTTGTAAAAAACATAAAAATTGACGAATATTGTTGTTTAATTAATTAATAATCAATCTGCATATTTTGATAGTTTTTTAAAATATTATTTTGATAAAATTACATTAAACGTGTCATAATTAGTAAATTATAATTAAATTTCACTGCGGTTTTATAGTGGACGATTGCGGAGAGAAGCAAAGGTTGTTGTAAATATACTATTTTTTAAAGTCTAAAATATTTTAACTTAGTTTGCAATTTTGAATTATAAAAATAAGTTAAAATTATTATAATAAATATAAGATGAAATATTAATAAGGCCATTATTAAATTTGAAATTCTAAAATAATAATAATGCTAACTGTATGTTGCATGCGCAATTAATTTTACTGCTATGATTTATAACTCATAAATGCATCATGTTACTTGCTGGCATATTTCTCCTATTTGGTGAATAAGTTAGATACATCAGTTACATAAGTTAGATACATAATTATTAAATACATTGTTTATTATTTAAGTTGCTAATTAAGATGCAGACGCTGTTACCTAGGTCATAGAAATAAAAAGCAAAATATTGCATATTATATGCAGCAGTTATAAAATAGCTTTTTTTTTTTAAATATTCGTTCAGAGTTTCTTTTCTCTTTTTACATGTTTAAAATGCATTTTTTAGTTTTCACTGTTTAAACCAAGGGGCAAAAAGAAACTATATTTAATTTATTTTTTTCCCCGGTAAGCTTATTTTCAGATAGCCAAATTTAAGTATCCTGGCGAAATATTTAGACCTAAAGGAATTAAAACTAATCCAATTAAATAACGTTTAATCTAGTGAGGTGTCTATCATATGCTTAGAGTTTAAATGGTCATTAATACAAACAAATTAGTCTAAGCACACATTACAAATATTAATTTAAACTGTTTTCGATTGAAAAAAATATTTGTTAAACCATTGTTGAATATTTTCTACCTCATATTTAAATCTATTTTTATACAACATTTAATGACTCACTATTTTCTTTTTATCTATTATTTAAATCAATTTATTATTGAAATGCGTTTTTATATCAACCGGAAAGTTAAATAAAAAAAATTCATTGGCTATTAAACTGCGCAAATAATACCTGAAGGAAAAAATATTTACATTAATCGCGAAAAAAACAAACAGTATTACGAGTTTTCTTAATATTAGATTTGTAATTGGATTCATGAATTATCAATCGAAGATCCACTCCATTCATTACAAAAGTACATGAATTTTATTGAGTTAGGCAGAAAAACTCTTTCATTTAAAAATAAATAAGTCTATATAGAAGTATTATCGATTTTTATGAATTACCTACCATTGTCTTTTATTTAAAGCGGAATTTTCCATAGATCTAAAATTATGTAGTAGGAAAAACAAACAGAAAACCTTACCTAAAATTTTTGAAACATAATATGCTACCATATTTGAAATGCGTAAAAAAAGGATGTTTAAATATAATTTTATAAACAATCTTTACTAAAAATCTTTTCCAAATAATCTCAGATCATCAATGTATCATTTATTATAAGTTAAGATTGTAGGTCAAATTAATTCCCTTGTAAAGCAAAAAGCAAGGTTTAAAATTTGATAATATATATAAATAAATAAAAAATGTAGTTTGTAAAAATTATGAAGTGAAATAAACATATGCTTTTTAAAAACCATGTAAGAAATTATCAAAAAATGAATTTTCTAGTGTAATTTTACAGACGATCTGCATTAAAGCTAACGTTTTCGTAATAAATATTCTAGTTTGAATACACTTTTCATACATTGCAAGCTAATATTTTAATTTAACTAGCTTCGTCGTAAAAAGCAACAACGATACGAAAGGTTTTATACAGTTATATAAAGTAATTTCGCTACTCCAGTGTTGAAATTAGAAGAATTGTTTAAGGTTTCGCGAAATCTTTCTTCAAAATTTCCAATTTTTATAAGACAATTCAGTTAATAAAACTCTTTAATTTAAAATTGTTATAGGAGTTCTAATAACCATATTAGAAATGTATAAAAAAATAGTACTGAAACATAATTTTATGAGCCGTATACGCTAAACGTCCTGTTTCCATAATACATTTTCTCATTTGAATATTCTTTTCATATATTGCAAGTTCAGATTTAATTTGACTAACTCTCTGATGTAAAACAAAGGTTTTATAATACGCTGTCTTAATAATTCTTCCTGGCTCGCGTAAAGTATTTTCATATCTCTAATGCTTAAAGGCAGAAGAATTGCTTTGGGTGTAGAAATTCTTGCTCCAAAAATCATCAGAAACTGTGTTTTCTAATGCATATTCAACAGGGGAGAAGCCACAGCTGGGGGACTCATTCGACTCCAAAGAATGCAAATCTGCATAAATTAAACTTCTCTGCTGCAAGAGTGAAATGCCTTTTGGGTGTGAAGGTTTTAATTTAACCTGCGGCTGAAAGGGAAACGGCTGATTTGCATTTTTAATCACGAGCTTCCCCTGTTTGATTCTAATATTTTAATATTACATAGTAAGGAGGGTTGCTCACAGTAATTAAATCTTTGTTAGTGATTTCATAGGAAAAATAACGCTTTGTTGTCCTTTGTATATATGTATTATTATTATTCATTTTTTTATTATTTTTAGTCAGCTCCTTCCGTCTTGGGCTCATACGAAAAAATTTTTATTGTTAATTTTGATGCAGTGATTACATAAGATAAAAAACAAATATAAAAATGAAAAAAGTCGTACTGTTCTAGAATACTTCAAAGACATGAAGAATTTTAAATAAAATACAGTTATACTTTTAATTTTTGAAAAACCTTTAACCTCTGCGGACTTCATGAGGATGAGCACATAAACTTTTCATTTTTCACACAATTTTCAATAATTGTAAGGATAATTATTATTTTTTTGTTTGCAGGAATAAACATGACGCAGTAAAATACCTCTTTTCGTAATTTCAAAATGAGTGTCATTTTTCTTGAATTGCACATACCAGGTGAAATTTGATTTTAATAATAGGTATGTTTTTTATAATTTTTAAAGGGAGTATTACAAATTGATTATTGGCTTAAATAATAATTTGAGTCAAATCTGCCTTAATTAAACTCTACAGCAAGAGAAAAATCTTTCTCAATCTGAAGGCTTTAATATAATCCCAGTATTAAAAGGAAGGGCTGATTTGAATTTTTAAATACAATCTTACATTGTTAAAAATAATGTGCTTCATATTTAATTTTTCGAAACTTATATTTTATCTTTCATCTTTTTATTAATTTTTGTCAACCTATATAATATAAACTGAGACACTCTAAAAGAATATTTCAAGAAACTTATCAATAATTTTAATTTAAGTAACTGTAATACAACTATATCTATAAAAGAAGCTATCACATAACTTGAACAATGATTGTTACACACATAAACATTTTAAATTGAACAAATTTGATAATAATTGTTTCGGAAATTATTTATTTATTTATTTTGTATTTAAGAAAATGAGACATAACATTAAATTTTTTCTAGAAGTAATTAAACTACGGTTGTTAAACTTAATTTGAGGACTGCCAATGGATTTAAATTTTTTTTAAGATCAATGTTACATCATTAAATCTCAGTAGAAATAAAAAAATAAAAAAAAACACTTTTTCAAATCAATACAATTTTTTATAAAGCTCTCATTAAATGATTGAAAAGAATACTGACTCTAAAAAGCACATGAGTAGTTTTCAATGAAAAAATTTCCTTATAGCAACTTTGCCTTTCTGAATGCGTCTATCTAAAATTAGAAACTGTTCATTTAACAAAATTAGAAAGTTTGATATAATTATTCAAATCCGCAATTATGGACACGTTAATGAATTAGCAATGCTAAAAAATATAACAGAAAGAAAGTCGTCACCTATTATCTCCAAATTAGATAATATTTCAAGTATTTTTTTTAACTACCACACAAACGCTATTTATTTTTTAAAATGCAAATTCTTTTATTCAAATATTAAAATGATGACAACAAGCTTGGGTAGAATAAAAACGCCTGACGTTATTTTATAAGTCTGACGTTATTTTAATCTTGATAAAGGCAAATAGACTGCAATTAAATGCATTTTTAAGACACACTAAAAAGTTAAGATCAACAACTGTAGAAGTAATAAAATATTATGAACAAATTGTCTTTTAATTAAAGTAACTGTAGTTACAAAAATAGGTATTAAGGTGGCAAATATACTATTCTAATTGGTTTAACATTTAATTGATGCAGTGTAGCAAAATTTTACATTCGGAACAGTTTTGCAAAATAACCTCTTAAGAATTTAAATCATTATTTTTAAATATTTAGATTAATTCAACCGTTTTGTTTAAATTATGTATGGCATCAGTAAAAATCTTATTTATTGCTTGTTGAAATATTTTTCAATTATGTCACATGACTTTTCAAAAATGATCTTTTTATTTATGAAAACGAGGCTTAGAAAAAATGGTAATTTTTATATCAACAAGAAGATAGAAATCTAAAATGTAAGTGTCAATATTTTTCATATTCTGTCTAAGTAGATTTTCCTTAAACACAAAAATGCCAAATAAGAATTTTCTTTAAAAAAAGAGTTTTCTTCTTTTACTCATTTGGTTCCTCTCGTTTCGTTTCATTATTTGCAAAATATTGTATTTTGCGTACTATAGTAACGACTGGCACTTCAAATAGATAATTTTTATTCATGTTAAACCATTTAAACTAGACTCGACATTTTACCAACTTTTCAAATACTCGAGCTGACTTGATTCATTATTATCAATAAACTATTAAATTATGTCAATTTTTTTTACAAAAAAAATTTAATAATTCATAAATTTGCCCTTTTAAATCATTCCAAAATTAACACATTTAATTTTAAATTAAGAAATTTCTTTTAAGTATTAACAATTCAAAATATTATTAGCCTACTTCAATGAGAGAGACATATGTATTTTGAAACTCATGTGATTTTGTAATTCTATAATTTCTGGAAAAATTAATTTTTAAAAGGAAATGTAAACGGTTACAAAATACGTTATATCGTCAAAAACACATATCATGCTTTTCTACAAAATTAAGGAATTAGATGGGGGGAAAAAATGAATTCTCAGATATTGTTTTCTTTTAAATATAGGAAAGCTTTTCCCCCATGCAGTAAAAAGGCTGATATTTTTTTATGGTATTTTATTTTATTTAGTATAAAATCCAATTATATGTAGTAGAAAATCCAAAACTCTAGATTTTTTTTTTTTTAAAGTAAGATCAAAATCAACACGCCATTTTCAAGATGGGAGGCAGAAAAGTTTGCTAAAATGGCTTCATCTACTTTTGGAGCAAAATTTTAAAAAATTTTTCCTTAGTTATATTAACGTACAAATTATAACGTGAGGAATCTAATACAAAGTTCTACATTTTGTAAAACAAATTAAACTATTCAAATGTTTTCTTTGATTTTTAAAGGATATCAACATGTAGTCGGATATCAAAAAGTTCAACTTCGTTTGTAAAAGCCTTAATTTGATATTTTTAATATGCCTTAATTGTTTGTCTTTTTAAAATTTCATTAATTCAAAACAGTTTATCTACAGCAGATATCTATCAAAATTGGATAATTAAAAAGTTTGAAAAGGTCATGCTTGGATTAATGCGAACGCACTTGAAACTAATATATAAATGTCTAAATACAAAAATGCTAAATGTTGCTCAAATTCAATTAATTTAAATATTTGTTCATATCAATTTATTTTTATTTTGCAGATTCCGAAGTAAAACTAAGAAGAAGAAAGGATTCAAGAAAGTGTTTTTTCTTATAAATAAAATGTTTTAAAAGTAGATGAAAATGAAGAAGAAACTGAAAGGTGAAATTGTAGATGAAATTGAAAGGAGACAGTGATTTTTACCGAACTCTTTCTGATTGGTCAATCCTTCAGGGGACATTTTCTCTGGAATGTTCACCTCCCTTTTTTAACTTTCACACACTTATCAATGTCAGTCAAATGACAGGATTTACAGAGGGATCGTTATGTTACAAAAATACCGATAATGTTACGAGGGCCACTCATAGGGTACTAAACTACTCCCCCACCCCATGCAGCGAACTTTAGGATTGGTCAGTATGATGATAGGTACTAAGTACCTTCCTCAGAATTTTAAAAGTTTTTGCTACTTGTCATTTCAGATTAACTTTTTCAAAATGGTTGCGCTGTAAAAATTATATTCTGACGCTATTTATTTAAATCTAAAAAATTTGGGATAAGGTATCGAACGAGTGATTAAATGTTGGAAAATGTGGTATGTACATTTCTTTGTTTCAAAGTTACTTAAACTTAAATGCATTGGTTAATTATATATATATTTTTTTTTGTTATATTTTAGTGTTCCGGTTTTTTAAAAAAAATTAAGCTGTCTTTTAATAATTTAAAACTTTTTATTTATTGAAAATGCATTTGAGACAAATTATTATATTGAATTTAAACATTATGAAAAATGTTGCTTTGCAAATTATATTGGTTCTCTTATTATTATTAGCTTCTCTTACTTAAATGTTTACATTTTTTTACTAAACAACCATGAGATTATCTTCAAAATCATGAGTTCAAAAAATGCATACTTCAGAAAACGTCTTTAACTATAATTATTTAAAAGCAATATTTTACAAAGATATGTATTTCCAAAATCTACTGTTAACTCAAAATCAAAGTTTAAGTATAGAATGGAATTAAATTTCCATTAAAACTGCATCTATTCACTATTAAGTAATTACTTAAAGGTGAAAATAAAAAAAATAGTTTCACAGAAGGAAAATGGCTGTATTAATTATAAGAAAATAAATTATTTTGCTTTGACTTTTTATTCTAAAATCTTTTAAAGAATATTAATCCGCACTTATATTCTTAATAATGGTCAATAGTTTGTACAAGTATAATTGATAAAGTTATTTCCTTAATTGTTTGATTATTATATGAAATTCAATTTTAAATAAAATACTCTCAATTATAATTGTGCATATATAAATCAAAATTAATATTTATTCAGAAATAATATTAATGTTTTCCGGAAATTTGGTGAAAATTTTAATAGAGTATAAGTTGGAAAAGTAGTGCTCATAGAAAAGTTCGGAGTCGGGACTGGAGTTGTAGTCGATCATTTCAATTATTGTCTCTCACAGTTCTGTATTTAATAATAGATGAAAGCAAAAGAATAGAATTTTATCTAAGCATTTTTAACCTCTATGTTAAGTTTAAAATTGAAAAGCTATGTTTATTATTTTAAAATATGCTATCCAGAATCCTACGTGAACAATTTAGCTTGGATCACATTTCAATCAAACAAAAGGAAAAATTACTAATACAAGTAAAAGTAGTACTGAAATACTAATAAAAATTACTAATACTAAAAAAAAGTTACTATCTTCGGTAAAATCACAAAGTGATTGACTCATTGAACGTTTTTATATAGTCTCAGAAAAATCCGTTAGATGTTGGATCATAATATTAGTACCTTGGACCAAAATATCTTATCATATAATATCTGTAAGATGAATAAGGTGTCTAAATTGACCCATGTAAATAAATTCTAAGACCAAGAGAGGAGCTAAGAGAACTGAAAAGAGAACTAAAAGAACTGAAAAAGGTGGATGCAACACTTTGAGGAGTAACGCAAAAATCGAAATCCGACTAAAGGATGTTATTTGGAACGATAATGCTATATTTGCTATAAGTTAAAAAGGTCGCTGACCACTGACATCTTGCATTTTTATTTTTTTATTATTTTTGCTAAGTTGCGTTCCATTTATGTTTTTAATAAAATAAATTGCATATTTTAGTCACCATTTTAAAATAAAGTCGCGGTTGATATTCCATAAAATAAAAAGGCAGTAAAAATAAAAGAATTAGCTCGCTTACACAATAAAAATTAAACAATAATTCTTTCGGGTGGGTAGCGAGGTCGTTCATGTGGGGATGAACAACACTCACGCTAACGTTTACATGACGTGTACGAGGCATGCGTCGAGACAATGGCACAAAAGATAGTTTACTGCACTCCAGTCTTTTGTTCTATCATAAAGGTAATATCTATTAGGGGAACACGTCATCTTATAACGATGGTTGCACTTTTCAATGGCTCCTCCCTTTACTCATGGCTACCCCCCTCCATACATATATTTAATCATAATCATTATTACTGTTGATTATTATTAATGAAATTTAATCTTTCGCACTTTTAAATTAAGGATGGCTGTTTTCTAATACATTTAAATCCTTTTTAAAATCTTGAAACCTCATAGTTAAAAATTATTTTAAAAACTGATTTCGATTTATTTTTATTTAAAAATAATTTTTATAAACTTCTTTTAATAAAGTATTTAGGGGAAAACTGCAGCCCTTAAAATAATGTTTTGTGTTTGTTAAAGGATTGAATTATACTTTATTTTCTATACTTAAATAATTTTCATTAATTTGGTTATTGTTTATGTAACGGTATTAAATAACGATTATTAATAATGTTATTTTAATTATTAATGATTAGTATTTATTATCCGTTATTATTAAACAGTTTGAATAATTATCTACAATTATTGAAGTAACAATTTTTTAAATTCAAGTAATCACTTAGATTATTTATAGTTCGAAAAAAAAATCCTTTTATTTTTTCAAACATACATAGAGTTTAGTTGAATTTTATTTATTTTTATTAGAAAGAGACTCATATTTAAAATCTTTAGAGCATTTTGAAATTATAAAACTATGTTGTTGTTTTAAACCAGAAAGATGTCATAAAATGAAAGTAAAATCTAAATGTACTGTAAATAAATAAAGAAAAAAAAAGAGAATTTAGCAAATGATTAATAACAATTTGTCAACGCAAAAAAATTATTTTATAAACGTTATACATATAGCGTGCATATAAAAGAAAGATTGCGGGATAACCAGGGGATAATATTATGAGACAGAATCTCATGAGAACAAAATATTGTTAAAACATCGTTACATGGACAAAATATAAGGATGCAGTATCTTCAACAAAATATCGTAAGACTGAATGCCCAAAGTGAGAATATATTGAAAACCAAATGGCAACTTAATTTAAAAAATTAAATGTATTGCTGCGGAAGTATTCGTGATACTATTATTTCTGCATTCTGAGTCATGTGTGTAATTCTGCTATTATTAAATAAGGCTATTTAAATTATAAACCAACTTAAATCTAAATTGTAAGCAATCGGAAAAACAACAATATACTTTTATTAATAATACAATCCATTTTTTTCCGTTTTGGAAGTTTTTATTTGTTTTATTTATAGCTAATATGTGTGAAGATGTTTTGAAAAAGTCATAAACCGACGTAAACTGAGTATTGATGAAATCTTAGCACCATTTAAAATAGATACAAAATAGCAGTGAGGAAAAAGATTGTTTAAAGTTTCTATATTCGCTCGAGTGTTCTTCCTCGTCAAACACTTGTGTCTATTCTTAGAATATTTTTCTCAACTCAAAACCCATGAGTTGAGTTAGAATAACACAGTTAATTTTACTTTAACGCGTTTTAAATTACTAGCTCAAATCTTTTGCATCCTTGATTTATTGATTATTTTAACTCATGAACAAAACTCCTTGTAAACCGAACTTCTTCTAAAGATTTTTGAACTTCTTCCTCTTGTAGATTTCTAAAATAAAATTCAGTCATTAAAAAAAATTAAAATTTTTTACCCAGCATTGTAAATAAGTTTTGCTTTTAATTTAAGAACTTTATTTTAACAACTTCATCCTAACGGCTCGCTCATTGTGACGTTATGTTAGTTAAGTGCAAATTATTTTGTAAAGATGTAAAGAAGACAAATTATTTTGTATGACATAACTTTGTACCAAATCTGAGGTCACATTAATATTTTGTTCATATTTATGAAAAATATATTTTGTCATAATCATGAATGTTGTTGGCAATTTCAAAAAAAAATAAGGATTAAAATTTTTTTTAAATATAATGTATGTAACTAAAATTTAAGATCGTAATTGTTTCAATTATCTTAATATTTAAAAATCGAACGAATAAAAATAAATAATGTAAAGAAGACAAATTATTTTGTATGACATAACTCTATACCAAATCTGAGGTCACATTAATATTTTGTTCATATTTATGAAAAAGATATTTTGTCATAACGTTGTTAACAATTTCACAAAAAAGTAAAGATTAAAAAAAAATTTTTGAATTTTTAAAATATAATGTGTGTAATTAAAGTTTAAGATTGTAATTGTTTCAATTATCTTAATATTTAAAAATCGAACGAAGCATTTATTAAACCAACAAACTGACAAAAGTATAATGTTTGACTATTTTTAGGAAAATCTTGATTGCTGAGTTTTATTTGGGGCTATTTCGTCAGAAATAAAAAATGAAATGAGTATCTAGATTACCTTAGATCTATTTTTAACGAAGTATTTATAAAACCAACGAACTGACAAAAGTATAATGTTTAACTAATTTTAAAAAAATCTTGATTGCTGAGTTTTATTTGGTGCTATTTCGTCAGAAGGAAAAAATGAAATGAGTATCTAGACTACCTTAGATCTATTTTTAACGAAGTATTTATAAAACCAACAAACTAACAAAAGTATAACGTTTAACTATTTTTTAAAAAATGTTGATTGCTGAGTTTTATTTAGTGCTATTTCGTCAAAAATAAAAAAAATTAAATGAGTATCTAGATTACCTTAGATCAATTTTTGTGATTGAACGAAGGCTTTGCACAGATTTCTGCATAGAGTAAATATTCACAATTAGTTCTCGCGTTAAAATTAAATAAAATTAAATTTATAATTTTCCCTTTTCGTCTACTCCCCTTCGACGTTTTAGTTCGATCGGAAGAAAAAAAGGCTTCTTTAAAAGCAAAATGTAATGATTTTCTTGAACTTCAAAGCGTGCATAACCCTTTCGTTCTATTTTCGTGGAAAAAGCAGGACTTCATATCATTGCCCATATGATTAATGTAGATCGTAGAAGATTTTTGTTTTTGGAACTTGCATGATGGAATGAATGTAGCTTACAAACAACCAAACAAAAAAAAAAGGAAAGAGAGAGAGAGAGAAAGCACATATCGAATAAATGAAAAAGTTGAGCGAAAAGGTCGCTTGTCAACGACAGAGTGCCACTACATACTCTCCCTATATGTAACGTTTCGTCTCGGTTTCAGTTGTGACTTTCGCTTGTCATAACACGCTTCATGATGTGTTTTATGCGAAACTCGGTAATTTCAAAAAAGAAAAGAAAAAAAAGAAGTGCCTGAA